TTAAACGAAATTGGGTGAATACATCTTATATTACTGATTTACTGGTAGACACGAAAAACAATACTTTATTCGAAAAATATTATATGATGGACGAAAGCTCAGCCTGTTTTCACCCGAAGCGAAGGGGGAGGTCTGTGCCAACATGTGTCGTATGAAAGCCAAACGACTGCAGTACAACGGAATTCAGTCGTCATCTTCTGATGAGATCAACCTACGAGCTTCTTCTTCTTGCACGTTCATACGAAACGAAGGTCTGCCCAACAAGTTGCTTAAGTCAGGCCAAACAACGTCAGCGCCCTTGGCTCGTCAGAGTCAGGTACAAAATGGGGGGAGCGCAAATTCGAGCCATGAGTGAAATTGCGAAAGATCTAGAGGTGCGGCTACTGTAGATGATTGTTTAGCCCACTTTCATCTCGAGTGAATATCATGATAAAGTATGTGCCAAGCTTTCCTTCATCCTATGACTCATGAAAGCTCAGCACCTTTTAATTGGAATTGACGAGATTGCCTCGAAGGCAGATCCCCCAAGAATGTTCCAATAAAGCCAATCGACAGGTGGCCAAAAGTAATCTGCCGTCGTCTACTGATTGGATCCATTTTCACACACACACATACACACTTTCACTCGAAATGGAAGTGAGTTCAACAATTATAAAATGATAGATTTCTCGAAGTCCAATTTTTGTTAGCATATACTGTGGACGAGTATAACTGCTAAAGGGACTAATAAGCCTTTAGTTGCTCGGCCTACCTTTGATTCTATCGATCCCTTGTCGTACGGTCATACACGAAGAGTGTGGATGGATGACAAGTTCGCCCAGAGCCGGGAGAGAACAATGCACCCCTAATCCTGTGTCTCCAACCTCTCTCCAGTTAGTTAGTCCGCTCTTTTGGCTGTTAAAAGAGCCCAATTCGACGGCTTCTCCTTTCACTCTGCCCGTTGCTACAGCACACACATGCTATCAATAAGCCCAAGCCCACCTCCTCCGGCTTACTTGGTCCGTCTGCAGTGGCTGAGCCAAGTACATCAGAACAATTATGCCCACATTTGGGGGTGAATATGCCCACTTGTGTTAAGGATATTCGTGGCTCGGTCGCCTCATGTCTTTCGTCTGTTAGATTCTTGCGCCCGTCAGTCTGGTCTCGGCTTTGTTTCAGCAGCCCATCTCATCTGCTCAGCCAGACATGGCTGTTCTTGATCTCTGTCTTAGAGCTCGGTCTAGGCTTTGAACTTGCCATCACTTTCACTCGAAATGGAAGTAAGCTCAACAATTGTGAAACAAGAGATTCCTCAAAACCCAACTTTCCTTCGCATATATTTGAACTTGCCAGCCATCAGCTCATGTATTTCACTCACGTCCATGCAAAAATGGTGCACAAGTATTTCGATTTCCGTCATCTAATGCGCAACTATCCATGCATAAAAAGGCAGGCGTCTAATGCATCCTCTGCTTTTGTCCATAAATGACCATTGCCCGCCTTCAGTGAGCGGAAGATGAGAGTGACTGTAATTGTGTTATATTATGGGTGGTGGCAGTGGTGCTGCAGATTGAGATTAGAATGTTAGTGGTGCTGGGGGCTGTGTTGATGGAGGTGGTGATAATGATGTTGGTGTTGGCTGCGGAGGTCTATTTGGTTATGATTTTGGTTGCAATGATAACTCTAGTGGTGTTGGTGATGGAGGTGATGGAGATCTTGAAGATGATAATAGTATTGGTGTTGGTAGCGAAGGTCTCTTTGAAAATGATTGTGGTTGTGATTTTGGTTGCGATGCTAATGCTAGTGGTGATGGAGGTGGCGGGGATGGTGGTAGTGTTGGTGTTGGTGTTGGTTGCAAAGGTCTCTTTGGAGATGATTGTGGTTGTGATTTTGGTTGCGATGCTAATGCTAGTCGTGATGGAGGTAGTGAGGACGGTGGTAATGATAATGATAATGGTGTTGGTGTTGGTTGCGAAGGTATATTTGGTTGCGATTTTGGTTGCGATGATAATGCTAATGGTGTTGGTGATTGAGACGATGGAGGTAATGGAGGTCGTGAGAGTGGTGGTGGTGAAGATGATAATAATGTTGGAGTTGGTAGCGAAGGTCTCTTTGGAGTTTATTGTGGATGTGATTTTGGTTGCGATGATAATGCTAGTGCTGTTGGTGATTGTGGTGATGGAGGTGGTGAAGGTGGTTAAGGTAGTGGTTGTGAATGTAGTGTTGACGGTCTCTATGGTTTTGATTGTGAGGATTGTAATGGTGTTGATTGTGCTGGCAGTCGTGTTAGCGCTTGCCAGTGTGGAGGCTTGGGGAGTCAAATGTGCTGTAAAGCTGATAGTCCTGAAAAGAGGACGAGGCTTTCCTTGAAGAGTATTCCAGACAAGCATCAGCGTTCCCCTCAGATTGTCAGGCCCAGAGTCTGGTAATAAATTCCTGAAATGTCGCGCCCTGACGAGCCCGGCAATTTGTAACGCATGCGGGTGTTCTATTTGAAGTGGGTCTCAGTTGGCAAATCTTCTCTTCAATCTTTCGACTAATAGAAAACATCATAGGGTCGAACAACAGTAGTGATATCTATGTGCACAGATGAGTGTGTGCGTATGTACATGTGCGTCTACGGGTGCTTGCGGACACAGACATGGCCAAACACAGCACGACAGTACACTTTTGTATGTCTTGCCCAACAGTTGTACAGCCTAGTGGGTGGACAAATGGAAGGACGAACAAGCTGATGTATGGCCGATCAGAAGGTGTGATGGTAAATGTCGTGATGCCAGAAAAGAGTCTGTGAATAGAGGCTAAAGAGATTTGCCAAAAAATGTCTTAGGGCAGTAGTTCATTTTACAAGCCTGCACAACTGTTTCCAAGGCGAAGGTATAAATCGTTCAGTTTGGAAGCGGCTTGTCTTCCGAAACTGTTCCTGATGGGCTTGTGTGAGGGGGGAGAAGCAGCATGAGGCCAGGGCAATTGAGGCTTTGTATGGCTCAGTTTGCGCCTCGGTGTGTGAGTGAAGTTGATTGAGAATGAAAGAGAAGCGAAACTGGCCTACAATGCACAAGATGGCGAGCAGGCAGACGCGAAGGAAAATGTCTTCCTTTGGGGCATGGGACAATCACGACAAGCCTGATCACCTTTAGACTTTATGTGCTACGCGTAGGCATACTCACTCACAGCAGGGGCTGTGCAAGGGGTGGAGGGGGCAGGGGCGGGTATAGATTTTGTGGAGAGATTAACGACGATCGTGCAATAGACAGTGGAGAGGAATTAGACGAAATTGCCTACGGAACCCTGTAGTTGAGAGAGACTTTGGGTCGGTGGTATTCAACGCGAGCGCAACAACACCCTGGGGTTGGTGAAAGCTATCAGGGGTTGGACAACTTTG